GAACCGTTTTCCCCCCTGAGACGCTGGATGGTGGACCAGAATCGCCTCAAAACCGTAAGGAAGCTTTTTTTTCACGGCCTCTCTGAACTCCTACCATGCCCGAGTTTTTTGCCTCAGCTGCATTCCGCTTGGACTGCCGATACCTATCAGCTGCTTYTGGAGTCCCACAGRCCAAAAAGACSTGATAGGACACCTTCTTCAGCCTGACAGCATCCCTCACCGCCGGTGTTCACCAGCAGGTTTGAGGGTTGCCGCCATGACAGGCACGGACAACCTTAAGGCCACAGCTCAGCTAAGATGCCTTAACAACGGAGGCACAGAACATGACCCACTTGGACTCAATGTCCCCAAMCTCCCCTGGAATGTGGTCAAATTTCTCCCGGAGGTGTGAGTTGAAGCACAGTCTGATAGGAGACTCTGCCAAATGTTCCCAGGAGACTCTCACTATATGTTTGGGTCTGCCAGGTTTGACCGGCATCCTCCCCCACCATCAGAGCCAACTCACCACCAGGTAGTGGTCAGTTGACAGCTCCGCCACTCTCTTCACCCAAGTGCCCAAAACATGCTGCCGCAAATCAGATGAGACGACAACAAGGTCGATCATCGAACTGTGGTCTAGRGTGTCCTGGTGCCAAGAGCACATATGGACACCCTTATGGACAACCATGCCCATCCAGGTCTCACTGTCATTACCCACATGAGTGTTGACATCCCCCAGGAAGACGAGGGAGTCCCCATCAGAAGCGCTCTCCAGCACCCCTTCCAAGGACTCCAATAATGGTGGACAATCTGAACTGATGTTTGGCGTACAGGCACAAACAACAGTCAGAACCCCCCCAGATGTAGGAGGAACGAGGCTGCCCTCTCATTCATCGAAATGAACCCCAACAAACAGGAACCAACGTGAGGGGCGATAAGTATGCCCACTCCAGCTTGGCGCCTCTCAGCATGGGCAACTCCAGAGTGAAAGAGTGCCAAGGAGACTGGTTCCAGAGCCAGAGTGGTGTGTCAAGGTGAGTCCAACCATATCTAGTCAGAACATCTCAACCTCACACACCAGCTCAGGCTCCTTCTCCACCAGAGAGGTGACATYCCACGTCCCTAGAGCCAGCTTCTGTAGCCGAGGATCGGACCACCAGGGTCCTCACCTTCAACCACTGCCCATTGCACCCAACCCCTATGGCCCCTCCCACAGGGGGTGAGCCCTTGGGAAGGGGGACCCATGTCTCCTCTTCGTGCTGTGCAGGGCCGGGCATCATGGGTCAAAGCCCGGTCACCAGGTGCTCACCAWCATGCCCCACCTCTAGGCCTGGCTYCAGAGTGGGGCCCCGGTGACCCGCGTCTGAGTGAGGGAACACTCAGTCCATTCGTGGCACTCATCATAGGGGTCTTTGGGCTGCACTTTGTCTGATCCCTCACCCACCTCACCCACATACATACATACATACATACATACATAC